GGGGGGCCGAGGTGCCGGGGCCCAGGTGGGGATGGGCAGGATCAGCCAGCCTCGGATCGGGAAGTCGGATCGAATCGAGGAGGAGGAGGAGAAAGTAGTGGGGAAGAAGAAGGAGGAGGAGGAGGAGAAGGGAGGGGGAGGAGGAGGAGGAGGAGGAGAAGAAGGGAGGAGGAGGAGGAGGAGGAGGAGGAGGAGGAGGAGGAGAAGGAGGAGGGGGAGGATGAGGAGGAGGTACAAGTCGGATCGGGCTGCATCGGCACGGAGTCGAGATCGAGTCGCAACGGTCGCGCCAGGACGCACAGCAGCGCCACGCAAGCGCCAGGCCTGATCGGCTCGACGGAAAAGATCGGAATCGCATCGGATCGGGCCGGCCAGAGTCGGCATCGAATCGGATCGATCAGATCGAGATGGACCCTGATAGGGGCCGCCTCCTCCTCCTCCTCCGCCTCGCCCTCTTCCTCCTCCTCCTCCTCCTCCTCCTCCTCCTCCTCCTCCTCCTCCTCCTCCTCCTCCTCCTCCTCCTCCTCCTCCTCCTCCTCCTCCTCCTCCTCCGCCTCTTCCTCCTCCGATGCTGGCCCAGAGCTCCTCGTTCGCAGCGGGCGGGAGGGACCTTGCGAGCCTCCCCCCTCGAGAGATGGTTCCAAGAGACCCCCATGGGGGCCCCCGAGGCGTTCCCACGCGGGCGAGGCTCCCAAGAGGGCCCCCGACGGGGCCCCGAGGAGCCCCCCCTGGATGCCCGAGAGAGCCCCCACCTGAGGGGGTCGCTGGAGCGCCGCAAGCCACCTGAGTTAGGTCGGGCACGTCCACCTACAGGCGGATTTGGGACGAAAAATGGATAGTCAAAACAGAATCCAAGAATATCCAACAAAAATACTGTTTAAAATATGCTTCAAATATATGTATATATATAAATATATATATAGAGAGAGATATATGAATATATAGAATACTGAATAAAATATGTTATATATCTTGTTATGAACTTTTAGTATAAAGAATTAGACTATAAATAGTTATTATTATATTTTGGTATACTTATTATTATAAGAGGAACAAGAACAAACGCCCCCTGACCACTTCTGGATTCTCCTCCTGTAGAGGGACAGGCCCGACTTAACACTTGAGTGAGCGATGCTGACCCGGAGCTCCTCACTTGCAGCGGGCGGGTGAAACAGGCAGCAGGCGTCAGGCGTGCCCTCCGGTGGCCCCACGAGACAGTGGGGCACGAGGCGGCTGGAGCACGTCCAGGTCGTCGGCTGTCCCTCCCCCCTCCCTCATCCCCTGCCCACCTCTTCCGCCCCTCCTCCCTCCCTCCCTCCCTCCCCTCCCCTCACCTCCCCTCCCTCCCTCCCTCCAGCTGCTGCCCCCGTCCGAGGCTCTGGGTGCCGACACCAAGTCTTGGCAGCCCCGCGCGGGCCACGCGCGATCGGCGCCAGGCGCCCGCCGCGCCTCGCCGACGGGGCTCGGCCGCGGCTCCCCGAGCCCCCCTGTCGGCGCCGCCACCGCCCACCGCGGCGCCGAGCGGCCGCGCCGCCGCCTGCCCGAGCTGGCCCGGCTCGGGCGGGCGAGGCCTGCGCGCGCGAGCACCCTCGGCGCAGCGGCGCCCTGCTGAGGGTGGCCGCTGCGGCGCGCAGCCTGGGCGCTCACCGCGGCTCGCACGCGAAGGAGCCGCTCGAGGTGCAGGGCGCGGGTGCCGGTGGCCGAATGCCTGGCGGCGGCAAGAGTGGCCCTCGAGGCGGCAAGGGCCCGCGTGGCGCGGGCAGCGGCAAGCGTGGCCCACCGCCATGGCCGCCGCCCCCGCCTGGCCCACCGCCGCTTCCGCCATGTTGGTGGCGCCCCAAGTGCGGCATGGCCAACCCCGCCACCGCCTGCGTAGGACGTGCATTCCGTTGCCAGCAGGAGGTCCTCATCATGGCGCCCCTCAGCCTGGAATGACGGCCGACGGCAGTGATTCACACAGTGCCAGACGCAAGCGACGTGACAAGTCGAGGCGACTTGACAAGTCGCAGTCGGGCAGGCGAGTACATGTGTCGTGCAGACATCGCGAGTTGTCTCTACCTGCTCGGAGTTAGGCTGAGGCCAACGTGCAGTGCTTTGCGTGTGTCTGCCGTCCACGTTAGAGCGCACCTAGTTGACCACCCGTCACTGGACGCCCCGCGCTGCCTGCTCTCGGCAATCTCGGCCACCGACAACCCCGCCCACCACCTCACACTCGCACCTCACAACCAGGACCGTGCCGACGGCACGGGCAAGCTGCCCATACCACGCAGGTATGTCGTCGCGGCGCTAGGCCCGCTCAATGAGCTGGTCACGCAGACCCTAGCTACGATGTCAAAGGATAACCCACGACAATCCCTGCTACAAGCTGGCCCCGACATCCGCAGGGGTACTATCGAACTGCTCAGCCCACAAGCGCAAATCGACGACGACGCAGAGAACCCCTGCCCGCCCCCTCAGCGGGTGTGTTTCCCTCCTGATGAATCACCTCCCTCATCTCCTGTCTTAACGCGCAGATTCGGTTTCTCCGCCGCCGTCTCGTCTGCGTGCCGCTGCAGGGGCCGAAGATAGCTCGGCCGCCTCAGGCACACCTGTCTCTCGCGAGCGGCTCTCATGATCTGCCGCTGACGGGGAAACCTCGCCAACGTCACACCGGGACCACGCCCGCCGCTCTCTCGTTGTAACGCTGTGCTCCTCTCCCCGACATGAAGTGTTCATCGGGGGCGCGCAAACATGGATTAGTGATCCATGGATTTGGCGCGGTGCCCTCCCAAAATGCGGCCGGTGCCGCCTCGCTCGGCGGCGGAAATCCGCAATTTCCCATGGAAACGGGACCCGTGGCTAATCCACGACCCCTTGATCCATGTTTGCGATCGCCTGGGTTTACTGTACTTGCATACTTGACACCCGCGAAGGGCTACATAGTGTTTTGAATATCCTTGTAGCTGCAGCACCGCACTCTGCTGACAGGCCATCGGCTTCAACAGCTTCGCAATCCAACAAATCCCTCCCTCCCTCCCTCCCTCCCTCCCGCGCTCCTCCTCCACCTCCTCCACCTTCGCCTCCTCCTCCTCCTTCGCCTCCTCCTTCGCCTCCTCCGCCTCGCCTCCTCCTTCTTCTGCTCTGCTCATCATGCTCCCCTACTCTTTCTACAACTCATCACCCGTATTCCTCCTCCTACCTCCCACAACCTCCGAAATGCAGAGAGTCCGGACTGGCCTCTGACTCGAGCGCGGTCTCTGCTGCGCGGCTGCTTCCCGGAAGATTCAGCGCGGCCGAGCACCTGTTTGGACCTACAGCGTGCGGACACGCGCTCGCGTCGGGTGGCCGAGCTCGGGGACGCGCACAGTTGTTCCCCCCCCCTTCCACGGGGCTCAAGAGACGGGGGTCAGCCAGATGGCCCGATCTTGCAGGATCCTGCAGGGCCAGGATCGCATTGACCCGGGCTGGGGTGCAGGATCCTGCAGGATCCTGCAGGATCCTTCGCATTGACCCGGGCTGGGGTGCAGGATCTTGCAAAATCCTGCATGATCCTTCGCGTTGACCTGGGCTTGGGCGCCTGATCCTGCAGGATCCTGCAACGCCCGACGGACCCGGGTCTGCATTGCCCCGGGTCAGAAGATCCCTGGCTTCCGCTCTGACTCTCCTTCCCGGTGGCGGCCACTTTTGTTTGCGCCGCAGCGCGGCCAAAGGCCCTCCGCACGCGCGTCGGGGCGCAGACCGGCACACGGCGCCGCGAAACAGCGCGCACGCGAGAGGGAGGGGGGCAAGGCGAGGAGGCGGCCGCGGAGGGCGGGAAGCCAGGCGCGGGGCCCCGAGAGCCGTCGATGAAGCACGCGCACGCACGCGCTCTTCGGCGCCGCCGCCTCGCGCGCGGAGGACGAGGCGCAGAGAAAAACAGGAGGCGAGCGAAGGAGCGGCGGACACGCGCGCGGCCGGGCCCCCTCGGAGGGAGGGGCACGAATCCGCCCGAAAAGATCCACCATGCCATACGCATGCCCGGGCACGGGCCCGGGCACCAGGCCTCCTCCCCCTCCTCCGCCTCCTCTCCTCCTCCTCGTCCTCCTCCTCCTCCTCCTCCTCCTCATCCTCCTCCTCCTCCTCCTCCTCCTCCTCCTCCTCCTCCTCCTCCTCCTCCTCCTCCTCCCCCTCCCCTTCATCCTTTCTCCTCCTCCTCCTCCTCCTCCTTCTTCTCCTTCTCCCCTCCTCCTCCTCCTCCTCCTCCTCGTCCTTCTTCTCCTCCTCCTCCTCCTCCTCCTCCTCCTCCTCCTCCTCCTCCTCCTCCTCCTCCTGCCCGGAGAGCAGACGTGGACGTGAAGATACGCCGACAGCCCAGTGCGACAGCAAGCGGAGGCAGGACGGGCAAAAGTGGCCGGGCGAGCAAGGACAGACAGCCAGGGCGGCGACGGCACGGGCAGCCGAGCACAGGCGCAACGGGCACGGCGAGGGAGACAGTGTGCCCACGGCGGCGGGCACGGCGCAGTGGGGCCGCAGGAGAGGAGCAAAACACAAACACGCACACAAACACAAACACGCGCGCGCACGCACGCACGCACGCACGCACGCACGCACGCACGCACGCACGCACGCACGCACGCACGCACGCACGCACGCACGCACGCACGCACGCACGCACACGCGCACACACACACACATATTATGTCGCAGCGCGGGCTGCGCACGCGCGCTCTAGTTGACGGGGAGCGACACACAGAACACACATACACACATACACACACACACACAAATCCTTGAATTCGGAAACCCAGGAAACTAACTATCAGAACTCTGCGATAACACCAAATGCAGTCGTCACGGCCCTGGTGGATAGAGGAAGAGATAAGCTCCTTCATGGGAAACTAATGCTGGTGGCGCAATCGCGAAGCGACACGAGATACATAGAAATCTAACTCCTGGGCAAGTGGCGAGATCCACATCAGAACTCGAGGCCGAACACAGTCACGATGGCCCACATGGACCTGTTGACCACGTCCTTGGACTTCTCACGGGGCCACACGTAAGTCAAGAACGCGTCCGTTCCAGCGTCCCAATAACAAGAAGTTGCACTGTGTATGCCCGCACCATTCCGCTGCATAATGGCACATGTGACAACGTACTTGTAAGGCTTCTGGAGGCGGTTTATCCATGCAGGTGCTTGCTCAAACATCGTATAACTAGGCATGCACTAACACCCCACTTCCCCGTACCCGAAGCTGACACCGTGCCGCGCCAAACACATGTGACAACGTGCGCCTCCTATATTTCGATGCGAACACAGCCTAGGCGACAATCGAACAGGGAGTGATCCCACTCCTCGCACGCGAGATGACAAAATAAGATAAAAAGAACGACCCAGCAATTGAATAAAGACTATCCTTGGTCTCGCTCAACTTTGCCATAACGGTCTCGCAGATGTGATTTATCCAGTGCGGCACCTGCTCCTGATCGTACTGCTGCTCCTTCAGGTGCCCGTCCAGCGTCTCCACGACTATCTTCTCGACCTCTCCGACGGTAGCATGATTTCATTCGTTGTATCATGAATTGTCTGTGCTCGTCTATATGGCCAACGCGATTGACCGAATGGCCGACTCCAAAGCTCTGGGTACCGAGGCGCTGATCTCTCTTGGGGATCAGCCTTTGCTTCGGCCAGCTTCCGCTGGCCTCCCACCAGCCTTCGCCAGCGGAGCGACCGCTCGTGCTGCACTCGCAAAACATCACTGCTGACTCTGGCGACAGAACCACACCGCGTCACAAAACGTCTCTCGGCAGACCAGGAACACCTGCAGACACGCCCTCGGACCCTGTCGCTGCAGTCGCTTCACAAGAGGCGCTCTCGCCGGACTTCGGGCCAAGGGGCCCTCTCACACATCGATCCGGCTCGAGAAGTTACGCGGCAAAAGGTGGGGCCCGGGGCTCCGGTCGTGACTTTCAAAAAAAAAACAGGATTGCAAAAAAACCCAGGATTGCAAAAAAAAAAAAACAGGATTGCAAAAAAAAAACGAAGGATTGCAAAAAAAACGAAGGATTGCAAAAAAAACCCTGGGTTTTTTTGCGATGCCGCATGCGGTCTGCAACGTAAAATCTCGGAGCGCGCAGCGCAGCCGTGGTCTCTCCGGGGGAGCCCGAGGAGAGAGCAGGGGGAAGCGGAGCGGCCTCCGAAGGCTGGGCGAGGTCCAGGAGCGAAGGGGCCCCAGGACACACAAAGAAATACACACAGATAGAATGATTCCCCATATTTTCCCGTATTTTTTCTGGGCTTCTGCCTTCCCCCCCACTTCCCAAATTTCCGCAGATGTTCTGGGACTCGAAGAATAATTGTGTCTGTGTGTGTTTTCCCCTCCTGAGACGATGCCCGGTAAGATTGCGCGGAGGAGGGCGCGATTGCCTGGGGCGGGGCATGGCGAGAAGAGCAGGAGGGGACAGGAGCAGCAGCAAGACCGCGGCGCCGCGTTTTCCGTCAGGCCGGATCCCTGGCCGCTCCGTGCGCCCTCCTGCCGACGTGGCCGAGGAAGCCCTCCGGCAACCCGAGGGCGTGACGCACGTGGGCGGTCCCACTGGGACCTTCGGTGGAGCTCCCTATGGGCGAAGGAAATGCTGTACTGGGCGGTGGCTGACGCATGCGGGCGGTGCCACTGGGGCCTTCGGTGGAGCTCCCTACGGGGCCACGAAACGCTGTCCTGGGTGGGTGAAACGCAGGGAGGAAGAAGGAGGAGGAGGAGGAGAGGAGAGGAGAGGAGAGGAGAGGAGGAGGAGAGGAGAGGAGGAGAGGAGAGAGGAGAGGAGAGGAGAGGAGAGGAGAGGAGAGGAGAGAGGAGAGGAGAGGAACGCGGGGACCGTCGCTTCAAAACGAGGGCCCAACACAACAGGATGGTTGGGAAAAATCGCGTGATGGTACCGACTGAGGCCTAGGGGCCAACAGATCAAGTCGGACGGGCGCAGCAGATCAGGAAGGGCATGTGTGGGAGGCGAGGACCAGGACGCCTGCCACCCGCGTGCGCGCTGCTGCCCAAGTGCCCACGGCCGGACATGCCCGCCTCGCCGGCGCCCAACGCGCGCGCGCGGCAGCCGGGCCAGAAGGGGGGAGGCGGTCGCGGGCGGGGACCAAACATCTGTGGCCACAGGCTCGCGGGCGGGCTCCCTCGGCCGCGGCCCCGTGGGCCCGGGGCGCCTTTTTGCGCAGGATGCCGCGCGCGGGACGCTGCCGCGCGGTCGCGTGTCCGTGGGGCCGCGCGCCTCGGTGTCCAGACCGCGCGTCCGTGTGGACACGTTCGTCGCTGGTGCGGCAGCCCGAGCGGAAGAGGCAACCCCAGAAGCCCCCAAGGCCTTGAGCCCAAGTGGGGGAGCAGCAGCAGCAGCAGCGGCAGCAGCAGGAGTTGGAGGAGGGAGAAGGAGGGAGGGGGGGAGAGTGACCGGGGATGGGGAATGAGGAGAAGGGGGTACTGCAGGTACGGGATCTGGTTCGAGAGAGCGCGTCGAGGGGGGAAAAGGTGGAGAGAAAAAGCGAGTAAAGAGATGTGGCGGTTCAGCTCCCAGACCTCATCTGGGGCCCACGCAGACTCCTCCGAATTGTGCAGCTCATCTACCATTGCAGGAGGGCGTGGCTGGGAAGGTGCCGCTGGCAAATCGAATCCACGAGCCTATTGCTGCCACCTTGAGCAAGATGGCGGCGCATACCGGTACAGTGCACATCGCGCGGAAGTGAGCCTGCATTCCGAGGGCACTGACAGCTGCAAGATTGCTGCTGCGACATAGCCAAATGGGCAGCATGCGTGCGCAATGCGTGCGATACGCACAGCGAGCTCAAGCACGTTAACACTCCCACTGCAAGACACCCCCTTGCCTCGGAAATGCTGCACCGTGACCGCCGCACACGACGTGCAGGAGCGAGGGGGTGATGAAGGCCCTTCGCTTGCTTCCCAGCACAGTCACTGTGCTTGCTAAAACACCAGAACGACGCGGGCGCCGACGGGCTTACGCAATGCGCCCTCAGCGGTCGGGAAACGTTGGATGGCGTGCCGCCGCGGCGGCCCCGGCGACGCGCCAGGCCCTGCGAGCGGGCAGTGCGTCGCTCGGCTCGGCGGGGGGAGGCTTGGAAAGGCTCGGGGCGTGGACGCTGAGGGGCCAGGATGTGGAAAGCGTGTCGCGCCGAAGCGTGGTGGGCCAGAACTGGCGGAGCGACACGCTATCCCAAAGTTCCCGACCGCACATCGGTTCCCGCGAAGAGATCCACAACTCACGCCCAAATAATCCAGTCCCCAGGACCGATGTTTCGTCCCGAGTCGTTTTTTGACGGTCCCGAGGGCCGGTAAGGGCCCTCAGAGGCCAAAAATAATGAAAAACCTCCCGTCGCGATTTTTTCATAACTCGAGGGGGTCTGGGGGGGAGGCGAGGGTCACCGAACTGATAATTGAGCCTCGCCTCCCCAGAGTCGCCACAAAAGGCGCTCGGGGGCAAGGTCGCCGAGCTGGAGGATCTCGGACCTCGCCACTACCAACGCATCATCATTACCATCATCATCAGCAGCAGCATCACCATCACCGTCATCATCAGCATCGTCATCATCACCCGCACCGTTATCATCATCATCATCATCATCATCATCATCATCATCATCATCATCATCATCATCATCATCATCATCATCATCATCATCATCATCGTCATCATCATCATCGTCATCATCACCCGCACCGTTATCATCAGCATCATCATCAGCATCATCATCATCATCATCATCATCATCATCATCATCATCATCATCATCATCGTCATCATCAGCATCGTCATCATCATCATCATCATCATCATCATCATCATCATCATCATCATCATCATCAGCATCATCATCATCATCGTCATCATCAGCATCGTCATCATCATCCGCACCGTTATCATCAGCATCATCATCATCATCATCGTCATCATCAGCATCGTCATCATCACCCGCACCGTTATCATCAGCATCATCATCATCATCATCATCATCAGCATCATCATCATCATCAGCATCATCATCATCAGCATCATCATCAGCATCATCATCATCCTCATCATCATCATCATCATCATCACCATCACCATCACCAGCGTCCACAACAACAAATCACCATCACCACCTCCACCACCACCATCATCATCATCAGAATCGCCCTCGGCATCATGAGCATCGTCGTCATCGTCATCATCACGATAATCCTCATCCTCATCCTCATCCTCATCATCATCATCATCATCATCATCATCATCATCATCATCATCATCATCATCGTCATCATCATCGTCATCATCGTCGTCGCCGTCCCCCTCCCCCTCGTCCTCCTCCTCCTCCGCCTCCTCGTCCTCCTCCTCCTCCTCCTCCCCTTCGTCAGCAGGAATAGCAGCAGCAGCAGCATCATCACCACCACCACCACCACCCTCATCATCATCATCATCATCATCATCAGCAGCAGCAGCAGCAGCAGCAGCACCACCACCACCACCATCACCACCACCATCATCCCTCATCCCCCCTCCCCTTCCCCTCCACATTCCTCTCTCCTGCCTCCCCCTCCCCCTCCTCCTCCTCCTCCTCCTCCTCCTCCTCGTCTTCCTCCTCCTCCTCCTTCCCCTCCTCCTCCTCATCCTCGTCCTCCTCCTCCTCCTCCTCCTCCTCCTCCTCCTCCTCCTCCTCCCCCTCCTCCCTCCCCGTCCCCCCCCCTGCGCCCCCCTTCGCGCCCTCCTCCCGGGGCCCGACGCAAGTGCCCACCCCCCCGCGCGGCGGCGCCTGGCCCGCCGGTTGCTCGCGGAGGCCGCCCCTCGGTCGCCGTGGAGATCCCCCTCACCGGTGGCCTTCCGAGGCCGCCAGGGAAGCACCCACAGCCACAGCCACGGAGGAGGAGGAGGAGGAGAGGGCAAAAAGGGAGGAGGAGAATGAGGAGGAGGAGGTGGAGGAGAAGGATGAGGAGGAGGAGGAGGAGGAGGACAAGCTAGGTGCGCTCGCGTCATATCTGACATCCTACCCCTCCCTCCCATCCCTTACCATGGCAGATCCCCTCTCTACTCGCACAGTCGGATGTCGAGCAGGGCAATGATCCCGAAAGGGTACGCGATGCATTGTAGAGCACGGCATGGCATGGCGTAGAAGAGCACCGCAAAGCGTAGTATCAACCTAGCATTGCATTGCATGCCGTGGCATGGCACGGGAAATGACGCCAGCGCTGCAGCGGGAGCACGAGTCGAAACGAGCGGAAGCGCGGAAGTGAGGCCAGCGCTGCAGCGGGAGCACGATTCGGAACGAGCGGAAGCGCGGAAATGAGGCCAGCGCTGCAGCGGGAGCACGATTCGGAACGAGCGGAAGCACGGAAATGAGGCCAGCGCTGCAGAGGGAGCACGATTCGGAACGAGTGGGGCCCGAAAATGAGGCCGGCGCCTCAGCGAGAGCAGCATTTTGAAAAAAATACAGGCGAAAACCCAACTCCGGGGAAACCTGTGCAAAAAAACAGTACGCGGGGGGGGTCGAGCACTATCAAACCATCATCAGGGGAAGAGGGAGAGTAGTATTCATAGTGAGCAATTGTGGAGGAGGAGGAGGAGGAGGAGGAGGAGCAGAAGCAGCATCGACGGTGGCCTTCCGAGGCCGCCCAGGAAGCACCCACAGCCACAGCTGCCGGAGCTGGGAGGGAACAGAAGCAACATGACGGCACGCCGCCGCGGGGGGAACCCAGCAGCGCGCTGCTGCTGACGAAGCACCACTTCTTCGGGCAAGAGCGACCTGCTCGAAACCTCCAAGTACTCCTCGTCCTCCTCCTCCTCCTCCTCCTCCTCCTCCTCCCTCCTCCTCCTCCTCCTCCTCCTCCTCCTCCTCTCCTCCCTCCTCCTCCTCCTCCTCCTCCTCCTCCTCCTCCCCTCCGCCTCCTCGACCAGAAGGGCCCTCCTCCTCCTCCTCCTCCTCCTCCTCCTCCTCCTCCTCCTCCTCCTCCTCCTCAATCCCTGTGCATGTTTCGGCCTCGCGCGTGCACGCTTGGCACGACGGTCCAGCACGCTCCTGGAGGGCCCTCGCCGAGAAGAACTGCACAGGTCCGAGCGATGCCGAGACGAAGGAGTCACACGCCGACGGGCTCCCAGCGGCGGCGTGCCGCTGCTGCTCTTCCCCCCCTGCCGAGGAGGCCTGCCCCGGATCCCCTGGGGAGCGGTGGGCGCGGACCACCCTGCCGCCCTCGGGAGCGGGCGGCCCGGGAGAGCGGGCGGCTGTCCACGCCTAGCTCCCCCCGGGGGGGGGGGCGCCCTCGAAAGCACTGGTCGGCGACCCTGAAAGGTGTGGTTTGCAAACCGCACCCTGGGGTTAGGTCGGGCATGTTCCCCTACAGGGGGGTCTTGGACGAAAAATTAAAAATAGCCAAAAAAAAATATTGAAAAATGATCAAAACTGACTGAAAAACTCGTCCCCAGTCTATTGTTTGACCATTTTTGAATACTCCTCCTGTAGAGGGACAGGCCCGACTTAACCCTGGGGGGCGGGCAAGGACCTCGACAAGGCACTCTGCCGCGCCCCGAGGCGGCCCGACGAGGGCAGCGTGGTGCCCCCCAAGCCTGTACCGACGCAGACCGAAAACCGCAGACCGGCGTAATTACTCAAATCAGCTTTGGGGGAAGCGGGTGCTAAGGGAAACGGGTCCCAGGCCCCGGGGCCTTCGCCCAGGAACACTTGTTCATCATGAGTCGTTTTGCGACAGTCCCAAACCCCATGGAAGGCCCCTAGAATCCGACAACGGCGAAAAACCTCGGGACCCATTTGCCTCAGGACCCGTTTCCCCCATGGCAACCACACCCTGTGTAGTCTCCGACCTGGGGGGACACCAGGGCGCGATTCCCAAGTAAATCGAAAGGAAATCAGAAGCGAGAGCGTGATTCCTGAGTCTTGGGGGCACGGCGCCGCCAGGAATCGCGCTCTCGCGTGCCCCTCCCTCGCAACGTATTGCGGCGCTGGGCCCCCAAGACTCAGGAATCACGCTGTCGCCTTGAACTTCCTCACGCAAAACCGCACTCCGGCGTACCCACACCCTTTGTTCGGGGTCGGCCAAGAGGCGAGGCGAGGCGAGGCGAGCGCGCGATGTCGGCCTGGTGAGACCGGCCCTAGGAGGGCAGCGCGGCGGGGCCGGAGCCCTGTGGTCGAGGAGGTGGGGAAGCGAGCGTCGGGTGTGAGTGTGAATGGAAGTCGAGAGGTGGATGTCGAAAGCTGAAGGTGAGATGTTGGAGGCTGACAGGTCGTGGTGAACGTCGGAGGTTGGATGCTGGAAGCTGGAGGTCAGTCGGGTGAGGCTGCCGATTGTGAGGTGCGGTCGTAAGCTGGAGGTGTGCGCTGAGGGTCAAAAAACTGGAAGCTGGAGGTCGGTCAAGTGAGGCTGGCGCTGATGAGGTGGAGGTCGAAAGCTGGAGATTGGAGGTTTGAGGTCGAAAGCTGGTTGTGCACGCTGGGAGTCAGAAGTTTGAGGCTGGAAGTCGGGCAGGTGGCTGTAAGGGTCGATGGGCGAAAATCGAAAAACTGGATGTGGAAGGTTGGAGGCCGACACTCGGTGGCGCTCGCTGGGAGTCGGAAGCTGCATGCTGGATGCCTGTCGGTGAGGTTGAAAACGATCGGCACGTGAACGTCGACAGCTGGAGTTGCATGTTTGAAATCTTTCACTGTTGCTGCACGCTGGGAGTCGGGCGCTGGGAGCTGCAGGTTGGTCATGTGAAACTGTGAAACTGGAAGTCGATAAGTGGAGGTCGAGAATTGAGGTGGGATGTTGGAGGTCCACAGCTGGTGATGCGCGCAGGACGCCGATCAGGTGGGGCTGGCGGCTGCGAGGTTGATGTCGACAGCTGGAGGTGGAAGATTGAAGTCAAGGTCGAACGGTGGAGGCTGATGGTCGGAGGTGGGAAGATTGCCTTTGGTGTCGTCAGCGAAATGTTGTAGTAAGTGTGCGCGTAGCAGCGGTCGGAAGGCTTGAGTTGAATTTTAAAACATCTGTAACTGTTGCTGCACGCTGGGAGTCGGTAGCTGGGAGCTGCAGGTCGGTCATGTGAAAGAGTGAAACTGGAAGTCTATAAGTGGAGGTCAAAGCTGGAGGTGGGATTTTTAGCTCCACAGCTGGTGATGCGCGCCGGACGCCGATCAGGTGGGGCTGGCGGCTGTGAGGTGAATGTCGACAGCTGGAGGTGGAAGATTGGAGGTCGAGGTCGAACGGCGGAGGTTGATGGTCGGAGGAGGGAGGATTGCTTTTGACATCGTCAGCGACATGTTGTGATAGGTGTGCGCGCAGCAGCTGCCAGAAAGATAGGTGCTGGAGTCGGATAATAGAAAATCTGGGCGGAGCAGGAGTCGGAGGGACAACGGTAGGAGTAGGCGTGCTCAAAAACAGTGGCCAGAGAGAATAAAACAACGCATGTATTAACGGAAATGTTCTCCTCGATTGTCCCACCATTGTTGATGTTGGGCGAGTTCCCACCACTGCGTGTCGCTGTTTGCGTTTGTCTCCAAGTGTAGGAAGGCAATGATGTCGTCGTCCCACGACTCCTTTTGCCTCCCGCAACGGCGACAAGCGGGTCGTGAGTCGCGCAAGCTTGGGTCCCAGCTCACGCTCAGTCGCGTCCATATGTCGGGGTCGTGGTTGGCGACGCGAGCAGCAAATTGCAACTTGCGTTTGCAATAGATATCTGTCCAATCTTCGACACCTGCTCGTTTCGCCAATGCCAGGTGGTGGTAGTACTTCTACGAATAAAAATCGACCCCAGATTTTAAGTCGCCGTCGCCATTGTTGTTGTTGTCGCTCTGACTGCGTGGCCCGATGTAGTTTTCGGTGTTTCTGTCGGGGTTGGCGTTGGTGTCAATGTGGTCGGTGGTGGCCTCTGCGCTGTTGCTGCCGGTGCTTGTGGGCTGCCTGTGCTGTTATGCTGCGCGTCTTCTTCTCGGCGTGCCGATGACAAGTCGCAGCATTTTCCGCTGCGCCCGCTGCAACGTCACAAGCATATTTGTTGTAAGGGCCCAAGAAGAGCATCCATACATAACGCTCGGTGTAATCGTGCCGCTGAAGACCTTCAACCTGCTGTGCAATGGAAACCGTTTGTTTGTGAGCTCTGGTCGCAACTGGTTGAATCTAGCCCAAGAGCACGCGATCCTGTGCTGCAGCTCAATCGCGTGGGACTCGTGAAACGACAGCTTTCGTCCCACATATTTCGCGCTTTGGTCGGAATGCAAAATGTCGATAGGCGCCCCGTCCAAAATTACGCGCGAGATTGTTCTCCCTTTCGTCCGGCTGACATTTGTGAGCATATTTGTCTTATCGGGGCGCGATAAGAATCCGCAGTTGGACGCCTCTGTCTGAAGTCCCGCAGCAAGCAAGTGAGTTGTCGTAGGTTGGGGGCGCATAGGAGAATGTCACCTGCGAAGCGTAGATTCGCGATGCTAGTCCCTTTGGCGAATCCGAGCTTGTTGGCAAAAAATATACGACGCCAGTCGGGTTTGAGCTGCCTGAACACACGCTCTAGAAGCGCATTGAAGAGGAAGAAGCTGAGTGGGTTGCCCTGCTTCACACTTCGCTGACTGCAGAAACTTCTGCTGTTGGTGACGGTTCTGACATTGGCGGTATGGTCGTGGCACAAGCGACGTAAGAGGTTAATGTATGAGTCTGGCATGTGCTGCTGTTGTAGAGCCGTCCACAGCGCCTCGTGGTTCACGCAGTCGAAAGCCTTTGTGAAGTCGATCGCTGCCGCCCGCAAGGGGCAACCGCCATGCGTGCGATTTCTCGCGCAGCAGTGTCGTGGTGAAGAGGTGGTCTTCAGTGCTGAAACCTCGCCTGAAGCCGGACTGG